TATGGACATTGGCTGTTCAAATCATCTTACTGGAAACAAGAAATGGCTGGTTGACTTTGACTCTGAAAAGAGGACAAAGATCAGATGTGCTGATGACAAATATCTTAATACAGAAGGTATGGGAAATGTCAGAGTGATTCTGAACAATGGGAAAACAGCACTGATTCAGAACGTGTGGTATGTACCTGGCATCAAAAGCAATCTGATGAGTGTGGGACAATTAATTGAGAAAGGTTTTTCAGTTACCATGAAGGACAATCTTCTGAAGTTGTATGACTGCAATCAGAAGTTGATTATAGAGTCAGAACAGGGAAGGAATAGAACATTCAAGGTGAATGTCAGAACTGCAGACTCAGAATGTCTTAGTGCAACATGTGCTGAGAAGGAGAGTGAGCTGTGGCACAGAAGATTTGGTCATTTGAATTTCAGAAGCCTAAAACATCTGAATTCAAAGAAGCTGGTACATGGAATTCCTGCAATTAAGAAGCCTGAGAAGTCATGCAAAGTTTTCATGGAAGGAAAACAACCACGATTGCCATTTGCGTCAGAAGTTGCTCCAAGAGCAAAACATGCCTTGGGAGTTGTACATTCTAATGTGTGTGGTCCATTTCCAGTAGCATCAATTGGAGGGAATAAATACTTTGTGTTATTTGTTGATGAACTCACAAGAATGACATGGGTATCCCTTATTAAGTTCAAACACGAGGTGTTTGATGAATTCAAGAAATTCAGAATGAAGGCTGAGAATCAGAGTGGTCAGAAGTTGAAGATTCTTAGAACTGACGGTGGAGGTGAGTATAACTCCAAAGAGTTCTAGAAGTTCTGTGAGGAGAATGGAATTGAGTATGAGGTTACTGCTCCTTATACCCCTCAACACAATAGTCTTGCTGAAAGAAGAAACCGCACTTTTCTTGATATGGTGAGAAGCATGCTAAAAGAGAAGAAGTTTCCTCAGAAGCTCTGGGGAGAAGCTGTTGCCACTGCAACGTATGTACTCAACAGATGTCCTACGAAGAAGTTGAAGGAAATAGTTCCTATGCAGAAGTGGACTGGAGACAGGCAAAGTGTTAGTCATCTGAAGGTGTTTGGTTCTGTTTGCTATAAACATGTTCCAGAAGCCAGAAGACAGAAGCTGGATGATAGAAGCAAAGTGATGATTCTGATAGGGTACCACAGTACAGGTGCATACAAGCTCTATTGTCCAGAAACCAATAAAATTGAATTCAGCAGAGATGTGATTGTGAAGGAATCAGAAGTTTGGAATTGGGATAAGTCTCAATCTGATTCTGATGTTAGAACTTCTGAAGAAAGGTCAGAGTTAAGAATTTCTGAAGTTGAAGTAAACTCTGACGTTGACTCTGATAGTGATTCTGACTCTGGAGAAGACTCAGAAGATGAAGGTGACTCTGATGATCCAGACTCTGATGGTAATCCAGATTCTGGTGGAAATTCAGACTCTGAAGATGGTCAAGACTCTGGAAATATGCCAGATCCTGAAGTTGGTCAAAGCACTAGAGGAAGTCAACCATCTGAAGCTGGAAACTCTGAAGCTCAAGACTCTGAACAAGTTCAGAGACCACAAAGAATCAGAAGCGTTCCCAGAAGATTTGCAGAATTTAACATGCTGCAAGACACTGAAGTAGACTCTGAAGGAGAAGTTATTCAGTGTGCCATGTTAGTAGACTCTGAACCTATAAGTACAGAGGAGGCTCTTAAGCAAAAGCTCTGGCTGAAGGCCATGAAAGAAGAACTTGATGCTATAGAGAGAAACAAGACTTGGAAGCTGACAAAACTTCCAAAAGACAAGAAAGCCATCAGCGTCAGATGGGTTTTCAAGCAGAAGTTAAAGCCAGATGGCTCAATTGGCAAACATAAAGCAAGGTTGATAGCCAGAGGATTTCTACAAAAACCTGGGCTGGATTACTCTGAAGTGTTTGCACCTGTAGCAAGACATGAAACAATCAGAATGGTGATTGCAATAGCTGCTAACAGGAATTGGCCTCTGATGCATTTAGATGTAAAATCTGCATTTCTGAATGGTCCATTAGAAGAAGAAGTTTACGTGTCACAACCTCCTGGATTTGTGAAAAAGAATCAGGAAGGGATGGTGTACAGATTATACAAAGCTCTATATGGATTGAAACAAACGCCCAGAGCTTGGAATCAGAAGATTGATTCATTTTTCAAGAAGCAAGGCTTTCAGAAATGTGAGATGGAGTACGGTGTCTATGTTCAGCATACTTCTGAAGGCAATATGACTCTGGTATGTTTATATGTTGATGATATACTATTGACTGGAAGTTCTGAACAGGAGATAGCCAAGTTCAAGAAAGTTCTGATGAATGAATTTGAAATGACTGATCTAGGCAAAATGACATACTTTCTAGGGATGGAGTTCAGATATTCTGAGAAAGGTATCATTTTGCATCAGCTCAAGTATGAATTAGAACTTCTGAAGAGATTTGATCTGAAGAATTGTAAGATGGTTGTCACACCTTCTGATACAAATCAGAAACTGGATTCAGACTCTGAAGGAAAGGATGTGGACACTACAACCTTCAAACAGTTGGTTGGTTCTCTGAGGTATCTGTGCAATACCAGACCTGATATTTGCTACTCAGTTGGGATGGTTAGTAGGTTCATGAGTAAACCTAAGTGGTCCCATTACCAAGCTGCTGTCAGGATTCTGAGGTATATCAAAGGAACTCTGAAGTATGGAGTGTTGTTTCCTTCTGGAAGAAAGGATGAGTCAGAACTTCTGAGTTATTCAGACTCTGATTGGTGTGGAGACAGAGTTGACAGAAGAAGTACATCTGGGTACTTGTTCAAATTTCTGGGAGGTTCCATTTCTTGGTGTTCCAAGAAGAAACCTGTTGTGGCATTGTCAACCTGTGAAGCTGAATACATTGCAGGTGCTGTTACTGCATGCCAAGCTGTGTGGATTCTAAATCTGTTGCAGGATCTGAAGATTAAAGTAGACAAACCTCTGAAGTTGATGATTGACAACAAGTCTGCAATCAATCTTGCCAGAAACCCAGTGTTGCATGGGAGAAGCAAGCATATTGAGACCAAGTATCATTTTCTGAGATATCAAGTTCAGAGTGGAGTGTTAGAAGTTGTACACTGCAGCACTCAGAAGCAGTTGGCAGATGTTCTGACGAAAGCTATCAAGACTGATCAATTTCTCAGACTAAGGGATGGAATTGGTGTTACAAGTTTTGATGGAATATGAATTAAGGGATGGTATTAGAATATTAATAGTAATTCATATTTATTTAGTTGTACTATTTTCCTTAGCCTCTAAGTTTGTTAGAGGGTATTTTAGTATTTTATCTTATTCTAGTAACCCTAGTTTTAGCTTATAAATAGGGTGACAATCATTGTAACTTTTATCATGTTTTGTAGCCGTCATTCTTAATAGAATATTTCCTTTGTTCATCATTTATTCACCTTTGCACCAACAATAAGTAATAGTCATTATTTCTAGGGTGCAAAAATTTTACATTATTGTCGACTATGTTAAGATTGTTTAATCTAAAGGAAAGCAGTGCGTGGACAGATAAAATTTTCACGTAACTGCTTAAATTATTGAAAGACATGTTTCCTGAAGGTAACACATTGTCAAATCATAATTATGAGGTCGAGAAGATATTTGTCCAATTGGTTTAGACTATGTCAAAATACATGCATGTCGTAATGATTTCATATTATACAAGAAAGAGTATGAAAATTGAGTGAGCGCGTGAGGTGTGGGAAATCACACTACGAGCTCAAGGACAATTGTGTTAATGGTGATGATAGTGTGAGCAAAAATGGTCCTCCTGCCAAGGTGATGTAGTATGTATCAATAATTCCAAGTTTTAAGAGATTGCTTTCTAATGTTCATGACGCAAAGAATATTAAATGACATGCAAATTAAAGAAAATATGATGGAAAAATCCGCCATGTAGTTGATTCTTTGTAATTGAAAAAAATTGATTTTTTATTTTCGGATTTTAGCCACAAGTAAAAAACCTTATGTTTAAACTTGTCACCGATGGAATGAACTTGTTTGGTAATTTGAATACTAACCATAATTTGAGCCAAGAATATTGAAGGTTTAATGTTGTTGTTGTGTTATCCTAATTGTTTTCATATGTCGTTCAAATTTTAAGTGTTTAACGACCGGATATCATTTTCAGATAAAAACTTTAGGAAGTCCGCTCAAAAATTTATATTTTGGCTTTTGCCTTAGTTGGTTAATCATTTATATATGTTTGAGCTTTGTTGTAAAAAGTAAACGTGCAGTGTGCAATTTGAGTTTGATTCTATTTAATTTATGAAAATCGAACTCATGTTTTCGATGACACGCTTCTTTACTTCATCTATGAAATCGTGTGAAATTTCTTTACCAATAAAATTTTTTAAAAGATGTCTTTCTCATTTCCAAATTACCAACCATCTAAAACTTCTTTCAATCATTTAATTAATCAATAATACATATAGTCAAGTAAAAACCAAATTGAAAATAGGAGAAAAAAGTGATCATTTGCCAACATCTAAGAAAGCTGGTTAAAACTGTATTTATGTAACTTAAAAATTCGTACATTCCAGTCATGGAATCAACCAACTACTGTCAACAATAAACTCACAATGAATCTTATCTAACTTTTTCAGAATTTTGTCATGACATACTATAGTTTTACACTAACACATTACCCTATCCATTACCAATATTTCCACATGCCCCACAAAAACTACACCATATATACATCACTTTTTGAGTCAAACTAATCATAACTATTTACATTTTAATATTTTTCCAAATAAATTACATAATAATTATTATAGATTACAACCAAACCCATTAAATCCAATAGTGACACACTTTTCTTTCCTATTATCCATCACTCCACAAGAATCAAAACACAAAAAATAAACAAGTGAAAGAATCATCAACAAACATTATCATTATTATTATACCTCTCTATTCTATATAGATAGACTGATAGTATAATAAATTAAGTTAAAGCAGACACAACTGTTTCTTCCACCCTTTCTTTTGATGCCACAGCTGCACATGTGTTTCCCTGCATTCCAATCATGCAAATTTTGAGTGGTCCCTTAAAACACTTCACGTGCTTCCTCTCTTTCTTTAACAGAAAACAACCCTACTTGTACTCTACTAGTACTACCCAATAACGTGACTTTCCTTTTCCATAATCGATATTCAGCGTTCGATTTTACTCTGCAGTCGAATATTTATAGTCGACTGCACTGTACAATCAACAACGCAGAATATCTATTTTGTTTCGTAATGTGAACTCATGAGAAAAAAATCACAATGTATATATATAACAATTCAACAAAACATGACATTGTGGTATGGTAAGGTACAATTTACAATTCGTCCAATTACATTAAAAAAAAATTCTTGGTTATTTTTCTTCTATTATAAAAAATTGTGCAAATTCTTTTGATAAAAATAAAAGAATCACAGTATGATAATATAAGGAAGCTAGTTAGATATATAGTGTGAGTACTCTTCTGTGAAGATGGTAAGGGTTGAGTCATACATTGAGAAGTTGTTCATTTTCTTGCTGAGGATCACATAATGGCTTTTGTGATGGAGATGGTAAAGGTGAACCTGTTGCATTTTCATTCTTTGTGAGGTTTTGATGGTGATATACTTGTCTTAATCTCTCTATCTCCCTTTTCAGTGCCTCTTGATGTGCTGCATGCATTCAAAATATTTTAAAATTAAAAACTAAATCGTCTGATCTTGATCGGATAAATCGGACAACTAACATTGTGCCGAGTTTGTAAATAGTTGAAATCTATGAGTGGAGAAAATCCAAATATATACAAGTATTAACTGCTTTGAGGCAGGACACTAGAGAAGTATTAACTAGTTTGAGACAAGGCACATGATCATACATAGACACATAAATATGTGTGCATGCAAAGAGAAACACTTCCACTAAATTCATTCAACATATAACTTTGTGTGCACTCTCATGATTAATGGCATGTTTCTTCTTTGTAAAATCTAATCAAATAAATATTTTTGTATCAAACTTTCACTAGAAAAGCTATATAGAAGTGCAACTTTATTGAATAGTACATTTTGCCCCATATAGTAAATTAGGGTTCGGTTTGGGCTGGTTTTAGCCTTATCTGCAGCCCAAACCAAGAATCTGAATTTCGGATTGGGTTTGTTAAATATACCGCTTAGTTAATCTTGGATTTAGATTGGATAAAATCGACTAGTTTTGGGTTAGATAGGATATGGGTTATCCATTTGTTAAAAAAAAAACATCTCTTAACAACAGTCACCACTCATTCACTGGGCTCAAACTCGTTTTCAACGTTCTATTCATATTGAGTTGACCAGATTAACCGAATGATCCAACTCGTATATAGTCTGTTGCCAAGACCATCTTAAATTTTCAGAGGTTTAGTATAAGTTAGTTATAGTTTAACTGTGGTAAAACAATTAAAGATCATATTTAGTTATTGTCTAATCATGACAAATCTATTTTGAAACTCTATTTAGTCACAATTTAACGATGGAAAATTTGAGGCTTTGTGCTGAAGTTGAAGTTCATCTCGCATATGGCTAATATATATATATATATATATATATATATATATATATATATATATATATATATATATATATATATATATATATATATATATATATATATATATATATATATATATATATATATATATATATATATATATATATATATATATATATATATATATATATATATATATATATATATATATATATATATATATATATATATATATATATATAACCATAACCAACTTTAAAGAACCACTATGCTAGAAATTTAATAAAATTACTATACCATCTTTGAAAATCTTGTCTTGAGCAAGAGCTGCAATTCTTTGCTTGAGAGCACTATTGTCAACATTTAGAAGCAAACGTTGATGATCCAAAAATGCAACTCTTGGAGAAAGCACTGAAACTTCAGCCTTCAATAATTTTGGTCAACACAATGACAAAAAGTCAATAACATTATCATCATTTAATTATTTCTACTACTATACTAGTACAATCAAATTTTATATTCTATAACACTACATAAATATTTCCACAAAAAGATCAACAATTATCATACTCACAAACCTGCAATGAAGTTACACTTCGTTCAAGCTCTGATATGTATTGCAGCTTCCTCACTCGCGATCGTTGCGCGGATTGCCTATTCGCCAAGATTCTAATACAAAAACCGAAATCAGTTTCAAATAATACAGAAAATATAGTAAAGTTCATAAATATATAGTTTTGAAGAACAAGATTGCATGCATTTGCTTCATCATATCATATGTTACCTTTTAACTCTCTTAGGATCGGTGATTCTGTCGCTAGAAGAAGATGCATTGTTGTTATTTTGAGGCTGTGAATTTTCCTGTTTGCATTGGCTTTCAACCTCCTCAGGTTCACTTTTCAATTGCTTCTCATAATCTTCCTCTTTCTTCATCTCTCTCAAATCATTTTCCTTCTTCTCTTCCTTATTTATCATCGCATTCTCATTCTCATTGTTGACAAAATTCTGATCAGAAGGACTCGAAGCGTTCGACGACGACAATATTGGTGGCATATTATGGACACCAGCTATTTCATCATTGAACATGGACATAAACTGTTCATCATCAAACTTGTCGAACTCGTTGTCGTCATCATTAATATTGTTTTCACCATGCTTCCCTTGACAATCATCAAGCAATGGTGATTCTAGGAACGCAACGGAATCGCTCACGGAACGACGGTGAGCTCCCCGCCTAGCGGTGGAGAAGTCGAGAAACTCGTCCACCCATGAAGGGTTTTGATTCTGTTGATAATTGTTTGTGCTAACGTTGTTGTTGAAGACAATGTTGTTGGCTGAAATGGATGTTGTCATACTATTTTTTTGATGAGTTGAAAAATCTGACCAACTTGGTAATGACATGTTTGGAATCTTGGGAGGTAATTGTGCCATTTGAGAAACAAAGTTAACAAACAGGAATTTTCACAAACCTTAAATATGTTTTTGTTTTTGTTTTTGTTAATGATGTTTTTGCATGAAAATAATATAGAGATATAGAGGGATATAGAAAAAGGAGAAGGAAAATGAAAGTGATGAGCCTCTAACACCACCCTTTAATAAATATGTATATAATAACCCCAGAAACCTTTGGGGAATGTTAGAGGGAAGAAAGTTACAAAGTTAATTAAACAACAACATAATCATGAATTTTTCTCTTTTTTTTTTCTTTTTGTGATGTGAAATATTTTTAAATTTTTTTGTTTGAGGGTATAAAATCCTAAAAAAATGAAAAAAAAATTGAGGGTATCTTGTGTGCAGTAGGGTCACATGGGGATGGAGAAGGAATGGACAGCTATGAACAGCTGGGAAGAGGGACTCAACGGTGAAACTGGAAAGTCGCCAGTGGATTTAATAGATAGTGGGAATCAGCCACCACGTGCCATTGTGACCTTCTATTTAGTGAAATACCCTTATCTTAATCTTGTAAATAAGGTCCCATTTTGGAACATTATTCTCTTCTTTATATGTGTTCAATCATAATATACTAATTTTAACTCTTTGATCATGGAAAATCTAAGGTTGATTAATTAGTTAGAAGTTTGTATGTGTTTTAGAGTTGAATTCTAGTCAATTAATTAACTAATTTAGGTTTTTTTCTAGGTGGTTAAAGAAAAATATCTTAAATTAGAGTGTTTTTTTAAAGTTTGTTTTTAGGTAAAAAAAAAAAAAAAACAGAATTAGGTATTGAATTTGATTCGAATGAATCGTGTCCACGTTCTAGATGAAATTTTAAAGATTAATTGATTGTATCTAAGACAAAAGGAAAGAGAACCAACCCCACTTAAGGGAGTTAGTGATTGGTGAAATCATATGGGTTGGTGATCTTTAATGATCTTTAACTTGGAGGAGAACAAAGACCATGTGCATGTATAAGATATTATCTATAAGGAGTGTAGGTGTTATGCATGATTTTTCTATATTCATCTAATTGATCATATCAGTGATTGTTTGATCGAGATTGCATGGCATAGATTTTAACTTCTAGAGTTGATTTTTTTTTAGTTTACACAGTCTAATCGGGATTGTACGTATAGATTTTAGGTTTTAAAGTTGTTTTTTTAGTTTACTCGGTCTAATCGAGATTGTACAGTATAGATTTTAGGTTTTGAAGTTGTTTTTTTAGTTTACACCATCTATTCTAGATCAAACATTGATGGGAATCTGATTTATAGTGCATGGGGTGTGACGTGTTTTACTAATCGTGTTTCATTAAAAAGCTAAACATAAGGAAAAGTAATTTAAGATATAGGTAGAATTGTTAGGACTCGTGGGATTTGGGGTATGAGCTGTGAAAGAGAGGGAAAAGTTAGGGGTTATTGTGAAGATCATGTTATGCTCCCATGTGAATTGTTTGCATGCACTATATGCTTTCTTTGCTTTGTCCCCAAACCATTCCCACATGTAGGGTATATGCTCTCTTTCTCTCTATGTGGATGTGCATATATGTCTTTCTAAGCACCTTCTTCCATCATCTTATCTTAACTTGATTTAATTTAGTTTTATAAGGAGATAAAAGTTTGACATAGCACATGATTAAGAGCACCTTCATGGAGTTTCATATTATATATCAATGGCATCTTTAAGTTCGTAGGAAAGTAAAGTGGGATATCTTACAAATGTGACTAAGAATAAAAGTTCAATATTTTTTTGAGAATTTGAGATGCCATCAACTTTAGACAGAAAGGGTTTGTAAATTCAATGTATTCATGATCAAAGGGAAATGGAAAATAGAAAGAAAAATAAACACTCTTTTAAAACTATTAGAAAAGTAGTGCATCTTGCGCAAGAGTAAAGATTAATTTTTCGAGCGGAAGAAAAAATCACAACGAACGACAAAGCTTGCTCTCCCTCGAGAGAATTTAACAGTGCTTGATGCCCAAAACTAAATTTAATCCCAAAATCTCTAGTTAAGAGAGAAGAGATCCCTTCACATCTCATCCATGTCTTTTGGGGTGACAGCCAACTCTACTTGAGCCATTTGTTCAATTCCAAGCCATTCAATATGCCAACACAAGAATTAACTACTCACACAAACTGAAACTGCCTAAATTATGGAAAAATCTTAACAAGACATGTACGTCTTTATTATGATCATGCAAGAAAAATGAGATACACAATTCTTGTCTTGCTAAAACTCTCAAGCACCAAACACATGGAGATAGATGTAAATAAATACGCAAATGAAACGTCTCTTAAACAGAAATTAATATGCATTGTAATGCATAAATAAATAAATAAATAAAATAAATAAGACATTAAGAACTAATGTATATTGTTTATGATAATAAATATCAATTCACACTAATGCTATCAATCACTATATGCACTGAGAACTAGAGATGAAAACAAATATAACAACATCAAGCATTGTGATCCTCAATCTTGTCATCGTGTGCAATCTATGGATAACTGCAAGCGCAAGCCCTGCAATGCATAAAAAGAATTCAACTAATCCAGAAGTTATAAAGAAGAGGTATGAAACTTGGCTGAAACAACACAGACGCCATTACAGGGACAGAGAAGAATGGGAAGTTCGTCTTGATATTTACCAATCAAATGTTCAGTTTATAGAGTTCTACAACTCTAAAAACTATTCTTACAAGCTCGCAGATAACAAGTTTGCAGATCTGACAAATCAAGAGTTCAGAAGCATGTATCTAGGTTTTTTACCTCGGTTTCATGCACAGAAGAAAACCAAGTATCATAAACATGGAGATCTTCCTAGAAACCTAGATTGGAGAAAGAAAGGTGCTGTTACACATGTCAAAGATCAAGGCCGTTGTGGTAAAATTTATTGCAAACCAATTTTATTCATTTTATCATACATACACTAACCACAATCCTCAACTGTTAAAATTCAACGGTAGAAGATTGCAGCCATTAAAGAAAATCTTTATAGTAAAAGAAAACTGAAAAAATGTGAGAATATAATTAGTCACAGAATCAAAATTGAGCCTCTGTAGTTAGTTGTCCAACGGTAGAGAATTCAGTTCCAAACACGACCAAACGTTAAGTCTATAAGAACTTTATATGAAGTGTTTTCAGTGTTAGCAATTTGAATTTGACAGGATAAATTAGTCTCATGTAGTTATATCTATAAAGAAAGTTACTCTTTATCTTAAGGGATTGCCTAAGAACTAAACATTATTAAAGTCTTACAAATTTATCTACTGACGAGTTCCCGTGCTAAAGACCATGCTTAAACATTTTTTTAATTTGTCTTTAGAGCTGACTAGCTAAGATGACGGTATAAAATTTGATGCAGGGAGTTGTTGGGCATTCTCAGCAGTTGCAGCTGTGGAAGGTATCAACAAGATAAAAACAGGAAATTTAGTTTCATTATCAGAACAACAATTGATAGATTGTGATACTAAAAGTGGGAATGAAGGTTGCGAAGGTGGCGACATGTACATAGCATTCAACTACATCAAAAAGCATGGAGGGCTAGCCGCTGCCAAAGTATATCCTTATAGAGGAACAAATGGTAAATGTAACAAAGCCAAAGCTAAAAAACATGTAGTAACTATAAGTGGCTATGAAAATGTACCTGCTCGCAACGAGAAAATGCTAAAAGCTGCAGTTGCCCGTCAGCCTGTTTCCGTTGCAACTGATGCCGGAGGTTATGCATTTCAATTTTATTCAAAAGGTATCTTTTCTGGAAGTTGTGGAAAGGACCTCAATCATGGCATGACTATAGTTGGGTATGGAGAAGAAAATGGTGAAAAGTATTGGATTGTGAAGAACTCGTGGGCAAACGACTGGGGTGAATCGGGTTATGTTAGGATGAAGCGTGATACTGAAGATAAAGATGGAACTTGTGGCATTGCCATGGATGCTACCTACCCTGTCAAGCATTAAGCAGCATGCTAGGAAAATTGACCTGCTGTAGTTATACAAATGAATGGTGTTAGCTCAAGAAATATTGTTTACACTTAATTTAAAAGGTTTTAGAAAGACAACTATTGATTGAAATTCACATGTAGGTAGCTTGACAAGGTGAAGAAAACTCCACAATATTGTCAAAATAGCAAAACAAAATATAACATAACAATACACATAACTCAATTTCTCATCATCTTCACCAATCAAGAAATTGTTCCTCAAAATTTATTTATTCTTTGTGATTGCACAAGTTAAACATGTATAAGATTAGCAAGCTGTAGAGAAATCATGAAATAAATAACCATTCCCCAGAATCTGGAAGATGACTGGGACCGGAACATAAAGCATAAATAACACGATATTTCCCACCATTTTACAATCTATGCAGTTAAAAATTTAATATTGTATCATTTACAGATTAAGTTACTCCATTTTCTTGTGTTAAAAGTATCGTATACAGCCTAATTTTCTTGAATATAATACAACCATCAAAGTCATGCTAAGAAGAAACATCAATTTTACAATTCAAATAAAACTCAGTTCCTGTAAATGCTCACTCCTTTTCCATGCAATAACATAAGAGATTATACCTCCAAATGATTTGCAAATCTAAGATCCTAGAGCTGCAATCCTCTATCTTCAGCATTGCCATCGAAAAAAGAACAATGACGCCATAACGCAGAACATATGTGTATTTGTAATACTACTCACTTGTTCAGCATTAAAAATTGAATCTGTGTCACTGTAAATAATTTAACAACTAAGATTTAAGTTTTGCAAATCTCTGTCTCACAGCACAAGCTACCTTCCACTCATTGATGCTCGCCAACCCGTCAATTATCTTCTGTCTCACCTTAATATACGGTATAAAACCTCTTTCCGTCATCCCCATCGCAACCTTCCCAGCCAAAACATATTCATGTCTCTCCAAACAACCCTCAATCACCATCTCATAACTCTCAAACCCAACATCATTTCCTTCCTTCTCCAGAAACTCAATCACCTCAACCGCTCTCCATATCTCTTTATCCGCCCGTAAAGCAGCCAACAATTTCACCACCGTTCCATGATCCGGTGTCAACCCATACTTCACCACCATTTCCTCTATCAAACCTTGAGCATCAACGGTCCTTCTAACACTACACATTGCACTAATCACAACCCCGAAACAATTCGAATCAGGAATACATCCTGCTCCACCCATACCCTTCACGACATTAACCGCCTCCGCTAATTGATCAACAGCACAAAGAGATGAAACTATATAACCACAAGTACCACAATCAGGATAATATCCAATTGACTGCATCTCAAGTAAAATATTCGCTACAGATTGCAACCGACATTGCCGCCGGTCCAGCCAAGCAGACGAGAGAAGGACATGAGTCTGAGGAACTGGTAAGCAACCAGAACGTAGAGTCCGTTGAAGAACTGCAAGTGCAAGAGGGAATGGCTGAGAAGTTTGAAGAATGTAAGACAAAAGGTAAGAGTAAGCTAGCTTGGGCTTGTAGCGCGGTCTGATAGGTATAAAAGACTGCAACATTTCATCAACCATTTGCACTTGTAAATTATGCGAAAACGAAGATAAAAAAGAGAAAGGGTTTGAAATTTGGGATTGGGATTGTGAGAACTCGGTGGTAATGAAATCAGGAATTTTAACATAGTTTTTGGATTCTACTACAGCTCTAACAGCATGTTCAAGCTCTTGCGGTGAAGAAGAGACTGAACGAAATTGGTTTAGAATAGGGAAGAAACGGAGAACGAATCTACGGCAAGGGCGCATTGTTGGTACACTTGCATGTATTGGCTACATGTGACTGTACAAAGTAATCATTCATGTGATTGTGCACATACCTTGGTGGTTAATGGTTGCCGGTGTGATGTCGTCGCGGTGATGCGGAGGATGAACCGGCGGCGTGCTTGAATCACAGTGGCGGCTGCATGTTTTGCTAGGTTAAACGAAAAAGTGAAGTCTTTTTTGGGTAAAGAAATGGAAAATTCTTTTTTTTTTCCAAGAAAAAAAAAATGAGAAGCCCTTAAACTTTGGAATTTCAAAAAATGAGAAATTTTGCCAAAGGATTTTTAGGAAATATATGTTTGGATTAAATATTTCATCCTATTATCAATAGATAAATTTCTATTCTGCCAACCCAACATCTTCCTTCTCAATTTTGACAACAATGACTTCCACATCTTTTTTTTTTCTTGGATTGATTCCAATCAGAATGTCCAATAACACAAAGGATGAAGTTCCAATACTACAAGATAGGAAGGATGAGAGAGCTTGCACCACATTCATGAAAAATGGTCACTTGTTGAATTGCCGCAAGGCAAGAAGACAATTGAAAGATGTCGAACCAGTCAATGCAGCTGAGGCATTGAAAGATTCGAAGTGGATGAAAGCAATGATTGAAGAGTTGGAGTCCATCGAAGTCAATGATACCTGGTCACTTGTTGAATTGCCGCAAGGCAAGAAGACAATTGATGTGAAGTGGGTTTACAAGGTGAAGGTAAATCCTAAAGGAGAAGTAACTCGACACAAGGCGATACTTGTGGCGAAAGGATTTCTTCAGAAGGAAGGAATCGACTTCGATGAAGTATTCGCACTTGTTGCTAGAATCGAAACAATCAGGTTGGTTGTTGGTCTAGCAAATATGAACAACTGGCACACATGTCAGATGGACGTGAAGTGTGCATTCCTTAATGGCCCCTTAGACGAAGAAGTTTATGTTGCACAACCAATTGGGTTTGTGAAACAAGGCGAAGAAAGAAAGGTGTACATGCTTCATAAAGCCCTGTATGGACTTAAGCAAGCTCCAAGAGCCTGGAATAAGAAAATCGACAGCTTCTTAAGGGAGAAGGAATTTGTGAAGTTGGAACACTGCAGAACTGAGAATCAAATTGCAGATATCATGACGAAGGGAGTGCAGGTCGAAGCCTTCAGAAGACTAAGAGCCATGATGAATGTAGACAGTTTAGACACAATGAATTAGGTGGTGTGTTAAATGTAATTCATTGTTTTGATTTGATTTGATATGATTAGATTTGATTTGAATATTTTGGGCCTTTTATGTTTTGGGCTTTTGTAAACCTAAAACTATAAATAGGGTGCCTTGCTTTGTATTCAAACACAACATAGAACAGATTTCACAGTTGCAGTTTGAGCAAGTGAAAGTTCTATAAGCAATAAGAAATCCCACAGTTGTGGGTAACACATTCTCTCCAAATATTTCTTCTCTCATTCTTCTCTTTCTTGTTTGTTTTTCTTTTCTTTTGTTGTTCTTAATAATTACTTGTTATTACCATTACTATCATATTGTGGGTTTGTTCATCAATCTTGAGATCAAGATTGAAGGGAATTCTTCATAGGGTGTGAGGTGAATTTCCAACAATAGGGGGTCATCAGCTTTTGAACTAAAAAAAAAACATCTCTTCATGATACTTCATTTTCCATGCGGACCCTTCTTCATAACATTTGTTTCACCTTTTATTGTGAATGTTCCATGAATCTCTCTTTTCTCTAAAAACCCAACCATCCACTCTGAACTAAAAAAACTACACAAGGACCCTTCATCATACAACTTCCTCCTCACTCACTTCATGGAAAAATAAACACTAAAAAAGGGCATGACCTTGCTGCAAAGCTTTAGATGACACATTGTTTGTTAACTTATTTTGCTATAACTTCTGCATATTTGAAAAAATAAATACTAAAAAAGGGTATGGCCTTGCTGCAAAACTTCAGACGACATGTTTTTCCTCTTACCACACATAAAACAAGACTTTTCCATTTTCATTAAAAGGGAACATGCTACATGAACCCACCTTTAGGGCCCACGGTTTTTTCTTCTTTATCACACATGAGACTCACAGCATAGGGGGGGGGGGGGGGTCATCAGCTTTTAAACTAAAAAAATATATATCTTCATGATACTTCATTTTCCATGCAGACCCTTCTTCGTAACATTTGTTTCACCTTTTATTTTGAATGCTCCATGAATCTCTCTTTCCTCTAAAAACCCAACCATCCACTCTGAACTAAAAAACTACACAAGGACCCTTCATCATACAACTTCCTTCTCACTCACTTCATGGAAAAAAAACATTATAAAAAAAGTCACACAAAACCTCATGTGATGAACACTCTCTTTTCCTTTTCTCAAGATATTTCCCTCTCCACTGAATATTGCATCTCCCTCAAACTCAACATGTAAATTGCCCTTATCTCCTTCTTTCACTTAGTCAACTTTATCTCTTCTTCATAACCACACCTTATTCTCATTGACAACCACTTTTAGCTCACTCTCTAACAACTTTCTTTACTCCACCCTTCCATATTTTTCTACATATATCTCTCATATTCTTGCGTAGGAAACTGGGAAACAATACCATCTCTTGTTGATAACACTCTGCAACTCCCATCACTATAACATGCACAGAACATAACCTCACTCTTCCATACTTCAAACACCTCTCTTCGAAATCACCACCTCTAGGTAACTAGACTCATTCATCTCTCTCGCATAACACTTTCCACTTCACTATCCAAATCAACATGAACCATTTTAACACACACATAGTGCTCATACCATACTCCCTGTGTCCATTTTTCTTTCACCACGAAGCCACCCTCCATCAATATCTCAAACAAAAACCGTGATTCACTTTTCAACTCTCAAAACCACCCTTAAGCTGTCATAAAGGACTTATGCTCCCGAGGAGTCCCTCGAGTAGGTATAACCGCAAAAAGGTTGCTCATCAAACATGGCGACGTCCGCCTAAGTATGTTCAAGGTTATCCGGTTTAGTATGCTTAATAACCCTACGTAGCTATTGTTGCACCTCCTTTCAATCAACAGTTTCATACATATCAACCTGTGCAACCGGTTCCGGTCTATCAAGCTCCGGTTTATCAACAACCTCCCAGTTATCAACCTGCACAAACTCCTATCAGCTATCAACAAGCACCCAATACTCCTGCTTATCAACAGCATAAAAAGCAAGCACCTCGTCAGAACGGTCCGAATAGGAAACAATACAAGTCTTGTCCTCCGATTCCAATAAATTTTACCAATTTGTACCCTTCATTAGTGCAACGAGGTATGATTACCACCCGTGCTTTGGGTCCACCTCGTAATCCTCCACCTGCCAATTACAACGTCGCCGCTCATTGTTTATTTCATGTGGGTGCGCCCGACCATGATTTAGAAGACTGTTATGCTCTTAAGAACCTTATCATAGATTTGATGGAAAAGAAAATCCTGTCTTTCAATAATCCTCAGCCAAAGATCAAGACCCCGCTCAGAGTTTTCCATTTGCCAAGATCAAGCTCTGCAAAGCTAGTGTTCAACATATCTAAGCCAGTTACTTCTACAGTGAATCAGCTGAAACCGATATTTATTCAGAGGCCTAGTCCACTTCATTTCAGTGATCCTCTAGACGACATGACCATGATCGACAAAGAATCTGGGAAAGTTATTCTAAAAGAAGATTTGAAGACTAATAATGAAGCAGTGACAAATATAGTTGGGGCAAGCAGGACGACTCGCAGTGAGCGTATCTACACTCCCCGTTCCATTGAGGCTCCGCCAGAAGAAACCACTACTATTGTGTTGGCCTTGAATGTGAAGACTTCATAAACTCCTTTAGTTAGGAATTGCTATACGTTCATTTTGTTTATTTATTTATGTTTTGTTCCTTTGATTAAGCATAATTAGCATGTACGAACTTGTTATTTTGATTAATTAATGCGATGCATATGTTTGTCTTGAATAAATTCACTCGTATTCACTCACAAAAAATTATTTTTCATAAACTTATAATGCCAACTTTACCCGATCTCTTGCCTTGATAGAGAATTGGGAGGAGGATGATGAACAAAAAACATCAGATCTCTTGTCGTATGCTTTCGATCAAAACCTGTTGATAATGTATGACATTGTTTCAAATCCTAAACACTGGAGATATAAGGGTGATAATCCCTCTTTAACCCCTTTGAGCCTTGAAGTAGGAGTTCTTTCTTTTCTAAATGAAAAACCCTTAACTTTAACCTGGGGCAGGATAGTGTTTCAGCTACTGATCGAGTGCTCAGAATCTCAAAAAGGAAGAGCATACACTCGAGAATCCATTTTATCTATCCCTCACATACTAGGAGGCTAGAAGTCAAAAGGCACAAACGATTATTCCTCGACTACTTAAAGAGTGGGGCAGTCACAAGCCTTTCAAAAGAGTCACACGACTTATTCAAAAAAATGAATGAAAGGGCTCGCTAAGTCAAAACCTATGAAGGAGACTTAGGCAAAACTGGGACATCCCGCTGGACTCCAACGTCAAATCCAAAAGCCGCCGTCCAGGCAAAAGTTAGGGAATAAAATCAAAATAACAAGGGATTACAATAAAGAATCCCCAATAAAAAACAAAGTTGTGTGATCAAACACCAAAAGAAAACAGGTGAGTGGCTGCCGTTGTCCAAAGCCTTAATGAGTTCTCGACCAGATCAAATTCACTTGAGATATGAGTGCTCGTATCCGATTAACTGAATATAGGATTGGAGAACATCACGAAGAAGGGGTGAGTACAAACAAACTTTGAGCCTTTATCCTTTGTTTCTTAAACCGTGAACCAGCCACGATACAACCTTTAAAAGACTTAATTGAAGTAGGAATTCTTTTGAAAGCATACTCGACGAGATAATGTTTCCTGACTCCTATGAGCTATGCTCAATTTAACATTGGCATTACAAATTAAATTCATATCCTAGCTAGTGATTTCAGTCACGAGTTAT